TTCCGGACTACTATTTCTTTGCTGAAAGATGTTTGGTAAACCATACCATTGAAAAGAAAAGTGTCAATAACTTGGATGACTGTGAGCTAATGTGCTACCTGAACGACGACTGTGTCAGTCTTAACTTCAAAAAAGATCCAGAGGATGAGGAACTATTTCACATCTGTGAACTAAATAACGCCACTCATCTGAAATACGACAGCGACTTGACAACTGATGCCAATTTTTATTATCGTGGCTCCAAGGTGAGTTACAAATCGATTTTTCGAAATTTTCGCTTTTGAATAATATAATAACAATAATTAATGTATATGCAGATCTTCGCGTATTCGATCATTCGGTATTTCGTTTCTTCTTTCATTTTCATTTTTCTTCTTCCTTAGAACGCTTGTGACAAGAGTCCCCACTGCGAAAATAACGCAACTTGCCAGTCTGGATTTACTCTCAAGGGGTATCGATGCATGTGTCCTCCTGAATTCGAGGGAGAATATTGTGAGAAGGGTATGAGTCTAAGTCAACACTTAAAATGAACGTGTATGAGATTTGTAATTGATTTTCAATGCTGGTATAACAACTGTTCTTTAGTTGCTGGAAGTGATGTGAATTTGTCTCATTTTATTACACAGGACGAAATTGCAAGAATCCGTAAACGGAAACGTGGCAGAAACATGTTAAACCGTTCTGGAAACACGACGGATAACCTGTGTTTCCGTTACCGGTTTCGTGACGTTTTCTCGCGTTTCCGCTGCTGCGTATACAACGGAACCGGACCACTTTTTGTGCATGTTAAACATAACGGAAACATGGAGTTGCATGTTTCCGCCACGTTTCAGAAATACGGAAACATGGAGTTGCATGTTTCCGCCACGTTTCAGAGATACGGAAACATGTGATTTCGTCCTGTGTAGGTGCTGAATTTTTCTAATTGAAATTTTTTTGCTATATATAGTTTATTGAGCATGTGTATTGTTTTCTTCGATCGCTCGTTTTTATATTTTCGTTTTCTTTTGTTTTGGTTTGTCTGCTTGCCTGCTTGCCTGCTTGCCTGCTTGCCTGCTTGCCTGCTTGCCTGCTTGCCTGCTTGCCTGCTTGCCTGCTTGCCTGCTTGCCTGCTTGCCTGCTTGCCTGCTTGCCTGCTTGCCTGCTTGCCTGCTTGCCTGCTTGCCTGCTTGCCTGCTTGCCTGCTTGCCTGCTTGCCTGCGACTAAAAGTTAAAAAGCGATAGCTTTTAACATAGACAACTTGTTTTCTTCATGTACGACTATCTCGCGTTCTTGGAAGTAAGCAAAAGGTTGAAGACAGCCATGGCTTGTACAGTTTAACACGGTGCTGGCTTATGCACGACGAGTTTTGCAGAATTTTGATACCCTCTTTTCTATCTGTTAATTTATAGACGTTGACGAGTGTAAAGGAAACCTCTCTTGTCACGAGAATGCAAACTGCACCAACACCTTTGGATCACATATGTGCGATTGTCAGCCTGGATATACCGGAAATGGACTAAATTGCACAGGTGAATTTGATTCACTTAAGAGGAGTTCATATGTATGTTTATTGCTCGATAGAGTAACTGCAAGGAGAGTTCAGAAATAATAGCTTAATTGAAATGTTCCTCCAGAGAACCACTTAAAACAGAAAGCTACAAAGAAATTCAAGTTGTTTGGAACTGCTAAGTTCCTATGGCTCTTTCATAGAGACCGAAATGCTTATAAAGTGATATCTTTTTATAAAGACATCTTGTTTTCTTTATGAACGACAATTTCGCGTTCTCGGAAGCCAGCAAAAGGTTTAAGACAACCATGGTTTGCACGCTTTAACACGGTGCTGGCTTATGTACGACAATTTTTGCATAATTTTGATACCCTCTTTTCTATCTGTTAATTCACAGACGTTGACGAATGTAAAGGAAACCACTCTTGTCACGAGAATGCAAACTGCATCAACACCATCGGATCACACGTATGCTACTGTCAGTCTGGATATACTGGAAATGGACAAAATTGCACAGGTGAATTTGATGTATTTTGTTTAGTATTATAAAAGTCCACCTGAGCGGTCTGGAAAAGAGCAACATCTACTCCATGGTAACTGACGTTGCAAGTAAATAAGATCCTTAGTGAGTTGTTTTACACCGACTTCAATCATGTTATGGACCCCTCAAATTGCGTTTCATTGTTGTAAATGAATATCTTCGATACTCTTTGTTTCTTTCTGTTCTTGGATGGACCTTACATTAATTATAGACGACGGCGCGAAACGAAATCGCAAGTCTTATTTTGAACCTTAGAGCTAGAAGGGGTACAACTTCGTAAATGTGTTAAAAACCAAAATAAAGATGAAAAGAAAAATTCAATGCATGTATATCTTGAAACAAAACGTTAGTAATCGGTGACGTAATTTTTAGTGACTACCCGTTGAAATTGACGAACTCTTGTAACCAAAATTAAAAAATAAAATTAAAAAAAACCTTAAATGTAATTAATATACATGCTCTATAATAAAAGCTTGAAAATATTTTTGATCGTATCTTACTATCAGGATGGCTGACTTTTTGTCGTTTCAGGTTGTTGTTGATTTCCGATTTTTTTTGGACAAAATCTTGTTCTTTTTGTAACAAAAACCGGCGTTGAAAGAGTACGGGTGTTAAATTTTGTGACTTCGAGTTCCATTTATTTGTATTGACCATCGCTATATTCTTATTTTCAATCTTCCCGACTCGTACTTCTCGTGGGCGAGGGATGGTGTATCTATACCCTCTAAACTAGTCCGAAGTCGACGTTCAAAATTCGCAGGTGACACTGTACTCACCATCGTCATAGAACTCTGCAATGTTACCCGCTCAGAAGACTTTTGGTAGTAAACAACAATGTATTTCCAGACTTTGTGATCCATGACAAAATGCAATTATTTCAACTATAGGTTATAATCTTTCTTCATAATTAAGGCCTGAAACTATCTTCATTATACAACTATTTGAATCGATAAATAGCCCATTTTAGTTCCTTGTTTTCGAGGGAACATTCTGGTAATTTTGTAATAAACATTGTATTAAAAGGTTACTGAAGATTGTTGTGACACTGATATCATTTCCTTTAGATTGTAATGACATTCATTGCAGCTTGATCTTGACGTAGCATGCACATTATATTTCAGAGATTGACGAATGCAGTGAGGCTCATCCTTCGAAAATGAACAAATGTCATCCGAATGCCTCTTGTATTAATACTCAGGGCTCATACAACTGCTCTTGTAATCCCAAATACATTGGGGATGGTTTTGAATGCAAAGGTATGTTTCGTTTCTTAAAAACTTCTTAACTGGATGGTTTTAATTGCAAAGGAACGTTTATTTTCTGCCATGCCTTTCTTTTTAGAGTTGGCATTGGATAGACTTTTAATTCATTTCAGCCATATTTTTTAAATACGTCATAACTATGTAAATTATGTTAGCTGTATCTTTAATACACGACTTTGCTACTACTGCGTGCAAATGAATGCTGGGAGTTGCCAACCCAGTACCAGGTCTCTCAGGGGGATGACGAATTAAAATTATTTTTAAGTCGTATGTTTGTAAACTTTGTCCCTTTCCGTGATGGGCCCATGATGGGCCGATAAGATCATTGATCTGTGTGGTCTGGGAATATGAAAATGACCGTAGATATCCCGAAAGGAACAGAATTCAAAACAATATCTTTCATTTACAGTTCTTGGCTGGCCGAAACTGTCTGGTAAGTTCGTGCAGAATTCCGAAAAAAATTATTCCGACCAATGTTTCCTTGCACCTTCCACTCAATTCCGATCAGGATAGTCCGTTTGAGGCCAAATGAAAATTAAATATGCCGAATAATACTCAATTCGGCAAGTAATAGAGATTTTCAAAGACTTAAAAGCGACAGAATTAGCTTTGGAATAACGAAAAATGCAATTTGAAAAGCTCTAAGGACTATAGCTGGAAAACAGAACTTGCCAAGTTCAAGTGATGCTTTGCGAGAGTTGGGCTATTATTTGGCGCAGTACATATTATTTGGGTGTTGATATGTGCTTAGGGTATTGTTCAATGGTGGATTTTTTTCTTTCACTGATTCAACTTTCAAAATTTTTAACGCAACGCTGCACGATAACATGGCCGCGAAGTTAGGGTACGATTTGTCTCTTAAATGTTTATTTCGGAGTAAATCTACCAATGTTTTTTTCCATTAAAAGTCGAGCCAAGATGCGGAAAACAAGCAGTATTGAACTTGTACTGCAAAAAGTAAACGGGAGATTTCGTCTAGATTTGCGAAACCTTCAGGATATCTTCCAGACTCTACAACAACAAAGATTGAGGCTGTCTTGAACAACGTGTCCCTTGAGCGACCTGGTACAGAGTTTGCCAACACCAGCGTTCATTCTGACCAGTATAAGCTAAGATGCGCACTTCGATACGCTGTTAAGGTTGCTGATAGGTTATTAAGGAGACATTTCATTGAAGTTTTATCATTTCATTGACAGCTTTTCAGTGCAAGTTTGAACGATTTCTTATATCAGATGTGAGATTAAATGTAGTCATGTTTGTTTACCTCGTGCACAACCTGAAAAGTAACTTAAAACAGTATATTCGCTGTTCTTCACAATTTTTGAATACTTTTAATTGAATTTACTTCTCAGACCCTTTATCGGCCTTCGTCATTTTCATGCGCTCGAATTTTCAAATAAAGGAAGAGTGCGATCGCGGTACATGTATGACATTTGTGCTCTTCCTAATTTGCATAATCTGTTCTTAGCCCGTGGGTACTACTGCTGTAAAATGCCCAGCTCTGAACTCGCTCCTAGCCAATCAGAGTGTCCGCTATATCGGCAACAAACTAAAGCCATATAATAAATAGTTGTTTTTGTTCTCTTGAAATGCAAGGTCTACTGCTGGTTGGTAAACTGCTGGAATTATGTGAACATAGAAAAAATAAATTTTACCATTGATTCTAATGACTTTAATGCCATTAAAATTAAAATTTTCTTTGTAGCCGATCCTTGCCATCATTACTCAAACCTGAGTGAGGCAAATCGAAACACAAATCACCAAGCACCGGAATCTGAACCGACGTTGTGTGACAACAAACTTCTTAAGGGATGGTATCGTTTTGTGGGAGGTGCAGGAACAAAAATGCAAACAACAGATGTGCCAAGAAACAGATGTGGTACAGTCAAGTCAGGGTGGTTGAAGACTGCTCACCCTTCAGTGGAAGATGGTAAAGTTCTCCGAATAGTCTGCTTTAGTTCCGATTGTGGGGATAGTAGGTCAATTTTTGTGAAAAACTGTGGATTATATTATATATACGAACTTCTTGCGCCTCAAGGTTGTCCAAAGCGCTTCTGCGGGACAGACGAAACGTGAAGCATAAAACCTCACAAGATAAGGAGATACATAATTGAGCCCGAAGGTGATTTAACGCTTTATGCCAACAATCAAGGAAACTCAACTACCAAGTCAGTGTTAGCCAACAAAATAGACGAAACGTGAGCGAAAAGGTTTGCATGGAAAACAAACATGGAAAACATTGACTGGCTCAATGAATAATTTTCAGATTTGTTTTTCTTTGCGTTTGACAACATTTGAAATGAGAGAAAACATAACAGTTATCGAAGTTGAGCCTTTTTAATTAAATTTTTTACGCATTTCTTATTTAATTCTATAGGAAAATTTCATCCGTAACGATAACATAGACTGATACCAAAGCATTTATAGCACAGGTTATTTCTATGAGGAGGCTCGTTATTATTTCGATAAAATGGGGATTCAGACAATTTTTGCCGCGGTTTGATTCTGAAATTCCATATACCGTTTCTTCGTTGCATTGTTAGATATACCCATTATTATTATCACCTTTTTTTTTCCTATTTTTATTTTTTTTTTTTACTTTAGTCTTCTATTTGCTTTAAAGACAAAACCACCCTCGTGGATGGGTTTCTAGGTCTAGAATTAGTTAATAAGGAAGGTTTCGAATAAACCCCAATGCCCTCTCAATAAGAGTAATTAGCATCTGAAAGTGATCGAGAAAAAAAACCAACAAATTTTCGAAGCCATATGTAATATTTGAGTTTATAAATGTATATAATAGTTTCGCACAGTATCTTAAGGTTTCGCGCTTTCTCAAGTTATTCAGTGCGTTCTTCTGGTAAACTTTATCCATGTATGCTCAGTAGAAGAGTGTTAAATGCAAAGAAATCTGTCATTGTTCCGTAACTTAAAAAAAAACAACACAACATAATGGCTCAGAAAGGATAGAGCTGCCTAATATGATATTCCTAGACTACTCTGAGTCATAGAAAAATGTTACTACTCATTTATCTGTAATTATTTGTGTCTAATGCCCGGGAAGAAACTTGAACGGTGAGGAAATAAGACAAAACACAACTGAGATTCTTTAAAAGCGTAAGGATTTTATCGGAATATGGATAAGTCATAGATGATCTAGTTTAAGGAAACTGCTATAGGTTGGGTCATCCTGTGCCTCAGATCTTTTAATTGAGTAACCATTTAAATATAATTTTAAAGCTGCATGTGAATACTTTACATTTATCATGCATGAAACATTTTCAAATGAAACAATGAACAAGGACAGCAAGGACAGGTGAAGGTAGATGCATGACAACACAACCGGGCAGAAAGGAACAGATCGATACATCAAGACGGTTTTTGACTTAAGGTATCACTGTAAGGGACAGTAATGAACGGCGAAACTTTGTTAACAACATATGAAAGTAAGTAAGAGAAAAAGGAAAATCGGCCAGTGATGAATCACTTTCGACGTTCATTTAAAACTGTTTAGCTTTTCTGTTCAGCTGTCTGGTTTAATTCAGCAAGAAAATTCGCATAACTAATCAGGTAATTTAAGGGTGTTAGGGACGGCAATAAGTGATAATAGTAATATTATACTCAAAGAAGATAAGCAAAGATAAATACATGAATAAAATAAAGCTTCGTAGCAAACAATTTTTGAGTATGAGATGCAAATTCGCGCACCTCAACCACCGCATGATTTTTAGTTTCTCTATAAACGCCTTAAACTTTCTCTTCAAAGTGACAAGGCCTGCTGTTTATCCAAGTTTGCCACTAAACTACACAATAAAAAGAAAAAAACAGAACAAATTATCACGCATTATCTGAGTGTTGGTTTATAATTCTGGTTACTCTTATTTGGCAGACGTTTTTTTTTTTTTCTTGTAAATAAAGGTAAAACATAGAACTATTGATGCATTGCTCTGGCTTCACTAAAACAAAGAGGCACCGACCTCTCTTTTTCGGAGATCGAGGAAACCACGCCAACTGCGACCGAATATCCCAGCATTCATCCCAGAGACTTTTTTAAACGTGACGGGTGTAGGAGGAAGCTTCAGCTTGGTGTGCGCCCAGCAAACAGGATAAAATATTGAGGATGAGGATTAGCGCTTTTTAAAATATTGACACCGAAATGAATTCATCGGGGAGAGGATTGTTAAGTAGGCGGAATGAGGTATTCAAAACAAGAATTACAGACTCTCCTGCACTCCATTTTTTCCCCTTTTTGGTTTGTCTGCCTGACCCCCACCAACATTTGAGCAACTACTCTTTCGTTCATTTGCTGAGGCCCAGAATCTGGCCCATGACGGAAAAGATGATCTTCTATCTAAACAGTTCGGTTTGTATTCAGTTTAATCCGTTATTGAATGCTGTTATTTGACTCCAACTTTGTGGTAAACAGAAGACATTCATATTGAAGTCTGCTTTTTCTAGGGAAGTATGGACAATTTTGCGCTTTTCATATTCGTATTCTAGACTGTATTTATGTCTTTCATGACGTTTGATGGAGGTGAGTTGCAAACTGATAATCTCTGGACTCTTATGCGTGTAGTCTTACTTTATCACATAAACAAACAGATAGTGACGTTCAAACTTTCCTAGAAGGAGGAGAGAACCAAAATACAGAACGAAAAACGGAAAGTTTCATATTCAACGGCATTTCTCGCGGTTGGGAACGAAAATCGATAACAGGAAGATTTGCCACAGGTCGATTTTGGCCATTTACTTGAATTATTTCTTCTACCGGGAAGGACCTAGTCAATAACTGAGAATTTTGTTTATTGAAAATTACGTCCATTGTTTGTTTTTGTGATGTTTCAACGCATTTTTTCATCTTGAGCCTTAGGGCCAAAGCACTTTACGATTTTTATTTGGGTATTGTCGATCCTGTTATTTTCATTCATCAATAAAGTTAACTTTTCTTCTCAGTAAAGGGCTATTGTGTTTATATGATAGACAAAATAATACATGGTTGCTGGTAGATATGAAATTTCAATTCTCGTGTTCAACTCGACACCTCACTCGTTCGCTGCACCTCGACACCTCACTCGTTCGAGTTAAATAATTGAAGAGTAATTCCATATCAACACACGCCCATGTTTCATTCTCTATTTGTATGTCGGCTTACTACTATTTTATTGATGGCTAATAGTTCAAGCGATGAGCAAATATAATTGAATATATTTACATGCCGAATTCAATAAGCATGACTAGTTAAAGAAGAAATTTCTAGAAACTCCTTTCGTAGACGTAGAATGTTATTCAACATTTGAGTGTATGTCTTATCTTATCCCATCCTGAAAGTTTAGAAATTACTTCAACATAAAACCAAATACTTCTGAAGCTAAGAACAACTTCATTCTGACCGATTGCATTCCTAATGTTTCCCTCTCAACGACGTATCATAGTACTATAAATTTAGTATGTATCGTAAGGAGGCATATTTTGCCCTGCTTAGCCGTCTCAGAGAACCTAGTTTATATAAGAACAATGCCATTATATGAAGTAAAATAACTTTTCTGTGATATACATTTGCTTGATAAAACACAGTATCCTGTCGATCGCAATTTTGGAAATCAGCTATTTCGTAGGATTGAAGGAAATACCTTATTTCAAAAAACTTGCCAAAGCGAAAGTAACTTGAATGGCAGACAACAATGGTTGGTGTCGATGCAAATTAGCATGAAGTCTTCTTTTCTCCATAATCGTTCAAAAAGAGCCACAGGGGACTGGTTGAGTTACGTATTCCTTTATTAAATATCCTCAAGCCAAGCACCAGTATTTTTAAGAAAATGAAGGAATAGTGAAAAATAAAAAAAAAGAAAGAAAGAAAGAGAAATAATTACATACCGTCCCTAGCATTATCTAATTATGGAGTTCAAGAAATATCAACAGTCTGATTTTCTCAGCGGTTTTAAATTCGTAAATAGAATTTACGAATTTGCAGGGGTAACTTCGAAAATCTTACTGAATTATGTAAAATTCTCGTTCACTCGACCATCAAGTCTTATTTCTTCGTTCAATCGATCCGGTAGGATTTTTATCGTCATTTCTCTCTCTCTTCCTTCTCCTTTATAACGCCAGTAGTAACAATTTCATTGGCCAAAAGAACGCAACTTAGTCTTTTATTCAGAAATGGATATTTTTTTGCAAGACAAATAAATGTTTCAAAAGTACTTCATAGTGTACGTTTCTGTTACAAGAGGTTTGTAGTCAGACAAGCAGTAAAAATTCCTATAGCTCTCATAGGAAGGAGAATTCCATACGAAACAGATCCTCCCCCCCTCCCTTTCAATTGATTTTCTAACGTCTTGTGCTGAAAGTCGTGAATATCATGATTTCTTAAGAAGTATGCATGTTTTCTTTCAGATATTGATGAATGTAGCTAAAAAGAACAAATACCAAGCAAATACCTCTTGTACTAGTACGCATGGCTCATAAAATTGCTCTTGTAACCCTAATTAGCGGTGATGGTTTTAATTGTGAAGGTGCGTCTGACAAAAGGCCATGACTTTCACTTTGTCAAACAGGTCTTGGATTGACTCGGTCTAAATCATTGCCGATCAGGAGGGAATTTTTGGCCAAATAAAGCTAACTGGTCATCGCACCAGCTGTACCTAAAATTTGCCTTCTTTCATGCGCCGTTTGAAAACGCGAATTTGGATATCGTGCTCTCAAAAAACTTTGAATAAACTTTCCTTATAAGAGTTAGTTTGCATCTAGCCTATTGCATTTTCTTTTTTTTTTTTTGGTGCTGAAAGACAAAGAAAGTTAAGGCGAAAAACGTGTTACATTGATCATAGTTAATGATAACTATAGTCCTTTCATGATTATCATTTTACTTTTTAGCTGGTCTGTGTCAAAATTACAAAATTCTGAGTGATGCCGATAGAAAGAGCAATTACAAAACACCCCAGTATCAAGAGGTGTGTGACAATTCACTTCCTGAGGGATGGTATCGTTTTGTGGAAGCTTCTGGAACAAAAATGCCAACAACGCGTATGCCAACATACAGATGTGGAACAAACTAGTCAGGCTGGTTAATGACTGCTTAT